ACAAATTATTAATTAATTTTAATTAATTATTTATTTGTTAAAATGAAACATGCAAAAGTTGTTTGAACTTTTTGATATTGAATTCGTGAAATTTTCTGCGAAGCTTACGAAAAAGCGTAAAAAGATACTGAACGAATGAAGATTGTTATTCAGTAAAAATAATTATTCTAGATAAGACATCACAATGTTAATGATAATAGTATTTGAATTTTTGTTTATAGTTTCAATTTCAATAGTTTAATTACTGTGCACAGTAACTAAATCTATTTTTTCGCTCGTGCGTTAGTTACTGTGCTGCTTATCTCGAGATAGATATAATTAATAGATATAATTAATAATAAAATTATATATATATATATATATATATATATATACATATATATATATATATATATATATTAATATAATAATATAATTTATATAATAGTGTATGCTATGATTTCTTGAAGCTATGTTATTTTCATATTTCTCAAGGTATTTCATTTTCTCCAACTGATTTTTCAATGCGGATTCCAATCGCACCAAAGCGAATCGTAAAATCCGGGAAGCTAGAACACATTAGATGTTGGTATGATTTTCTGAATGACGAAGAATTAAATTGATTCGAAGAGCAATTTAAGAACAATTTATCAGACTTCGATTCTGTTTTGAACGAACCACAAATGACATTGAAAATATTACAAATAAAACCGAATACAGTAATGTCTCCCTAACTGACGCTCAGATTCTGCACAAAAATGGACAATTTGGAAAGAGGAGATACATACAATTATTCGAGACTTGCAGCTCGTTTTTATAGTTGTTGACAATTCGCAATTATAAAAACGAACCTCAACATAACCTATAACCTTGACATAACCTTGACACAACCTCGAGGCTCGAATAATCGTATCTCCTCTTCCCAACTTGTCCATTTCTGTGGACAATCTGAGCGTCAATTAGAGAGACATCACCGTAAATCGAAGCAGATAACCGACGCTTCTTCATTCTTAGGTTCGGTGCAACGCGCTCCTCTTCCCAAATTGTCCATGCTTGCGCGCAATCCGAGCGCGAATTAAGAGGAGATGACTATACTTTTGACACTGTGGGCCTCGTTGCATCCAAGGGTTCGTTTATGATAAACGAATTCCAGCATTCGCGTTCATCGAGTTAGCCGCGTCGACAATTGTTGCGAAACCGATCGCGGAAAAACGGGATTGCGTAACGATCGCCGATCGAGGGGACCCCGGGATGCTTTGTGATTCGGCCGATCGATTTGGCCGAGCGACGATCTTGTGCAACCGACGGAGAAAGGAGGAAGCCGGGCCCGGACGATCGATCGACGTTCGATCGACGTGGATCGACCGGGTGGAGCGACGATCGAGCGGCTCCTAATCGCTGTGAAATTGTCGTATAATTCGTGAGTGGCCGGCCTAAGAAGAGAAACCACTCGATATAATTGCCTGCACGGTTCGATATCGCAGTCCAGTCTTCGTCGTGTCCTCGACGAGTCATGCGAACCCGTGGATCATCGGTGGCAACCCTGTTGCTTCTTGTTGTTTACCTGGTAACGTCAGACGTCGATCGAGATTCTGTATTCACCTAATTTCTCCGCAAATGTCGAGCTAATGTCGAATTTGGTTCGCGTAGCTATTTGAATGAATGTCGGAGAGATATTGCGGAAATGGATCGAGTGAAATTGAAAATTTGCAATTTAGGTAGTGGAGGATGGTTCGATGACCGATTGGATAACAAGTGCTTCAATTCTCTGTTATTTTTCAGTTTACTGTGATAAAGTGATACGTACTAACACAAGCTAGATAGAAAGATTTCGTTTGAATTTGTGATTTTAATCTGTGACTTTTTACAGTGTTCGCTCTTGACAAAACTAAGTTGTTTTCACTGAGATAGCATTTTTAACTTGCTACAATTGACCGCCTTATGACATGTACTTTCGGAACATGGTTCCGATATAACACGGTGTGAAAAATGCGACATATCTTTTACAACACGGTATTCTTTTAAGTTGCAACATGGTTTTATCTGACACAGCTCATACACAGTGGGGTAAATAAATATAGACTCAAAGGAACTTTTATATATATATATTTTTATTGATGCTTAAAGAAAAATCAAATGAAGAACTATGTTTGTATATTTTTACTTTTTATTACTTGTAATATAGAAGTGTAGAAATATAGTTGCTTTTCTGGTTTTTGTTTAACTGTCAGTAAAGATGTCAAAGTTACTTTGAGTTTATAATTGTTGCATATTAGAAGAAAAATGTTCTGCTACCAATACAGTGGTCTGCATAATTCTATAATTATGATCAAAGTAACAGTTATATTGTTACTGATATCTAAATAAAAACTTAACTTATTAGTANTGATAGAAATGATAGAAATGTAAGAAATTATAAAAATGATAGAAATAATAGGAATAATAGTAATGATGGAAATGATAGAAATGATAGAAATGTAAGAAATTATAAAAATGATAGAAATAATAGGAATAATAGTAATGATGGAAATGATAGAAATGATAGAAATGTAAGAAATTATAAAAATGATAGAAATAATAGGAATAATAGTAATGATGGAAATGATAGAAATGATAGAAATGTAAGAAATTATAAAAATGATAGAAATAATAGGAATAATAGTAATGATGGAAATGATAGAAATGATAGAAATGTAAGAAATTATAAAAATGATAGAAATAATAGGAATAATAGTAATGATGGAAATGATAGAAATGATAGAAATGTAAGAAATTATAAAAATGATAGAAATAATAGGAATAATAGTAATGATGGAAATGATAGAAATGATAGAAATGTAAGAAATTATAAAAATGATAGAAATAANATAAATGATAGAAATGATAGGAATGATAGTAATGATAGGAATGATAGAAATGGTAGCAATGATAGAGATGATAGTAAATGATCGAAAATAGAACCATACAAATATGATATTTTGTTAAGTTTCCGTTTAAACATCACTAAAAATGTAAAAGTTACCTCGAAGTAAAAAAAAATGTTAATTCTATGGCTATATGGAAAAATGCTGCGAGTTATAATTTCAAAAAATTTAAATTGATCGTTTATCAG